AGAAATCAATTTGCAGCCTTAAGGTTGCAATGGATATGTTATATTCAATCTCCAGACCCAATTTTGTGATCTCAAATACCCTTTAGGTGTGTCATTGAATACACTGACAACCAAGATTTGGGGTGTATCTTAAAAGATGTTTGGCTGCTAATCACAAAAATGATCCTCAGTTTAACCTATCACATATCATTTTATAGAAATCTTCTGTTTTTACACAATGGCAATGTCCACACTTCACATCTATTGGCTATGCTGCACGCATTAAAGAAACATATAAAAACATGTAACAGTTGTTGAAGCACATCCAGTACATCAAATACAACGGGAATAACGAAGATCTAAAAGTAGTAGGTCTGGCTACTTGGGATGCAGCTTATATATACCAAATTCTGTTGTTACATATGCAAATGGAACAGCCATGCAAGAGAGTTGCATTGCATTAAAACAAATGGCCACTCCGAAATAATTTGCTTCCAAGAGGAAAAAAAGTGACACACAAACCACCTATTAAAACTGACAAAAAGGTTTTTTTGCCTCTGCTTCACTTGAAATTCAGACTAATTAAAATTTTTGTGAAAGCAATAAGTTGAGGTTTTCGTTATTTGAGACAGGTGTTTGCAAGAATAACCGATATCAATATTAAAGAAGTCATTATTATTTGTCCACAGACCAGATGTCATCAATGACAAGCAGTCATTCAAAGATATATTAGTGTGGCCAGAGAAAATCACCTGGGAAGCATCCAAGGATGTAGCTGAGAATGTTCTTGGCAACTCCAGACCACCAAACTACATTAAGCTGGTTGACAAACTTCTTACAGTATACAAGAACATGAAATACAACATGTCACTGTAGAATCATTTTCTGCAATCACACTTGGACTTCTAGGTGCAGTCAGTGATGAACATAGTGAAAGGTTTCACCAGGACATTACCACAATGGAAAAACATTATCAATGCAATTGAAATCCACCAATTCTGGCCAATGTTTGGTGACACTTTAGCAAGATACATCAGACACTGAGTACAAACAAAAAATCAGCAGCAAAATGCTTTTAGCCCTGTTGAACCCATGCAGCATGTCGGAAACGTGATTAAATGCATTAAATACATTATAGTTATTAAAATTAATTTCATATTTCTGAAGATTTCCACATGATATAGTCATTCTGAAACTATATCTGTGTTCAGTTTGAAGGGGTTTTCATAATCAAACATTTTTCAAAAAGCAAAACTTGAAAAAAAAAGTTGTCCACTGATATTGACATTTCTACCAAAAAAGCCAATAGTGCAGTTTACCATTATTTAGAAATAACAATAAAATAATATATTTAAACTCTCATGAGTTGTTTGATGACTGCCATATATTTGGCAATATGCAAGTATTTCAAAACTTAATCCCAGACAATTCTATCATGCTATAGTGTAGCATTGGTGTGCCCATAATTTTTTTGCCATCAAAAGCCTGCCTGCAGCAGTAGCAAAATATTCAGTAAATATATTTACTAAAGGTAGGTAGTAATAAGATACTAAAAACATTTTAGAAGATGAAATCTCCTAATATAAACTTAAAATGGTGCATTTCCATTACACTTACTTTGTTGGACTCTCCCTGTAGTCAGGACATTTCCAGGCTTAAAAATGGAAATGTGCATCCAAAGTTTTACCCATGTGTACCCAAGGTTAGTTACTAGTACTTTTACAAAGAGGACATTTTGAGGTTATTTATCCCTCTCCGTTTCCAAACCCAGAGAAAATAATTAGAATATCCATCATACAACATAGGCTTCTCCTGTTGTGTGCTCTTCTTTCTTTTCTCCTTCAAGTACTTATAAGGAACTAGAACTGTGACAGAAGGTGAGTAGAATACGTCTTTGCCAATCCTAACTCTGGTGGCTCCATTTGATCAATCTCTGTGAATTTTACATTTTAAATTATATGGAAGAAAGTTATAGTAAACAATCTACTACATAGGTAGCTGGAAAGCTGTCCAAAATGGCTCCTCCATACAAACTGAGACTGCCATCTGTTTCTTGATATGTGTCACTAAGGTAGGTAACTTACTCATTGTTCCTATCAGATTCAGTTGAGCATTTTCAAATTGAATTGATATGAAGTGCAAACCAAAATATCCTAGATATATGACTGAATATTTGTGACATAGTAATGTCATATTTGTTAACATTTATAATATAAACCTGCCGAATTAATTTATAGAACACCAAACTAATTTGAAGATGAATACTGGCAGATTGCCTTATACAATACAGTATTATAAAACTCATTTTTAATTATTAACATTTTCTGACAACTCTTATCAGAATAAACTTAGGCAACTTTTGGGTGGCATGAACTATACTTAATTGCTTTGAAAATAGCACAGCCACATTTTAGGTATCCACAACTGCTTTTTTTAATTTTCTATCTTAAACTGCACTGCTGAAATTCACTACTTAAACTTAATAGAGGTTGCATAAGGTTGCATTTTATAAATACCCATATTGTATATTAGCCCAAAATTGTATGATTAAAAACACCAACATACAACTTTTTATTTTAAAATGTCCAGATATCAGGTAAAATAGTACATATTTCAAACAGATACAGAATCACAGGTAAGAGTATATCCCTTCAAATATTTTTAAAATGTACCCTTTATTTTAAAAATTAGTTGTCTTAATAAGCATGAAGAACTATTACCTACAGATCATGCCAACTGCTATAATGTGTTGACAATGCTGCATCTACAGAGGAATTTCTCTTTATCAATTACTTACTAGCAGGAGTTATATAGATTTCTTTCATGCAGTATCCACTGATCATTCATGAATTATGTTGATTATGTGTGTGTACATAATTCACAAACATAATTATTAGCATGGTACAGTAATTAAATATGACCTGGATGGCATGAAAAATACATGGATATAGAGCAGATATCAAAATCATACTGAATGTGTGCTTATCAACAGACATTCACTACAATGGAATGAAGTATCAGTTGAAATACCATAGGATTTGGCCGTCCTCAAATTTTTAAATATTTTTAGTTCAGGCTTAATTCAGAAAACAGAGAATACTTATTTATTATAGGTCTGGTGGAACCAAAAATGATGGAACAGCTTATATTCTAGAAGACAGAAGTAATTAAAATGTTTTTGATTTATTAGATAAGAGGGCTGAAAATAATAATGTTTTTAGAGAGAGCAGAAACCAAATGTACAGATATGAACTTGATAATATCTGATCTTGCAATAGTGCACGGGTGTCAAACTTGCGGCATCATGTTGCCTCACATGACATTTTGCGACATTTTGCCCTTTTGTGGAGCTGGGGTAGGCACGACCTGTGTGTGATGCATCCGGCCCAAGGGCCACCTGTTTGACATCCCTGCAATAGTAATTTAAGTGAATGAGTCACCAGTGCAATGTGGCTGCAAAAAAGGCAAATGCAATATATCAACAGAAGTATGGCTTCCAAACTGTAAATAATTCTACTTTAGTCCTACTTATTAGTTCTCACCAGAAATCTGTCATCTCCAATCATCATACTTTACAGAATTAGCCAAATTGGATCAAGTTCAAAAAACAGCAATGAAAATTATCATGAGATTAGAAACTAAATTCTATGAGGATAGACAGAAGGAATTAGATATGTTTTGCCTTAGGACAACTGAAAGAGGAGATGAGAAAACTTTTCTAAGCGCCAGAAAGGGTACAAATACAGAACATCAAGATCTGTCCTCCACCAACCCAAAAAGATACAGAATGATGAAATTAGGTTACAAGACAGCAAATGTCAGCTGAATGTCAAGAAGAAAATCCTAACAGAAAGAGCAGTTTAACAGTATACCCACTTATTCAAAGAAACACTTTTCATTCCCCCAAAAGTGGATGAGTTCAGCAGAAGCAGATGTGTACAACCAATTTATCACTGTTTTCATATGAATTCTTCCTTTGAACAGAGAATTGACCTTCATGGTTTAAAGAGTCTCAATTATATTATTATTACCTTTTTCTGTAACCATCCAAGTTATCACATTGGTTATCAACACTATTTGGATGAATATGGCAATAAAACAATGAAAATGAAATAGTAAAGGGTGACATTCACAGAAACATTTCCACAAACTATTTGTGATGGTCATAAAAAAAATATTAATTGCAGCATTCACTGTGGCTGATTTCATGTCTGAGTCTTTCATATTTTAACTATGATTTATTGAACAAATCTGATTAAATTCACACAGCTCATACACTATAGTTGACAAATCACTACAGCTAACTTTGCACAATACTATAGGCTACAAATGCGAACAAACCACTTTTTGGTTTAATGTGCTGAATATATTCAAGCTCTGCAAGTTTCCAACCCACAAATTTCAATGCAACCCAAATAACAGCACCTAGGATAGCATGTAGATTCAATATAACCTGCTCTTCCCCAAAAAATGAAGGTTTCTTTTGGTAATCTACTTGAATCTGAATTCAATACAGCTTTTTTTTTCTTCAAAATCAACTTGCCTTTTTAAAAGTATCAAATAAAAGCATGTTTAAGAATGCCTCTGAGGCAAGAGTGAACTAAATGAACTTCAGAATTCATTTATATATAGTGTAATATACATTTTCTGTTGAACCATCACTTTGGTACTGGGTTTTTTAGCTGCCATGTATACTTTACACTACTTTGAGCAAGGTACAACAATGTGGACAAAAAGACAACTTAATTTGTAATACTCTGGCATTTTTTGTATCTGTGCAAGAACACATGCAAATATTTTAAGAATATACTAATATATCTAAACATATTTGCTGTTTGTACAATATCCTTAACTGAACTATGGTTTAATCAATTAACCAAAATGTTTGGTTTGCATAGCAAACTGTGTCATAAATTAACAGCACAGGTAGAGTTCATATATTCTAGTAGCCTAAATGTGGTTGAGGCATGCATCATGTAATCACTGTATATAAATGCTTCATATCAAGAAAATGTTCTTACCTGTATATCCTGCCCACCAGCCCCAGGATGCCACCATGGCTAAAAGCCATTTAAATAATACTCCTTCGATATACCAAAACCATTTATTATCCAACAATCGAAGAGGTTGCAGTACTATCAAGTACAAAATATAGGACGGAAGAGCAACAAGGTTATTAGCAACCATGAAGCTAAATCTTAACAGTGCTTTCAGAAATATATAGCCTGCCCTTTGGGCCTTTTCCAAAGTTATAGCCATTCTTTTCACACAGAAGTTTGTAGTCTTTTCCTACAGGATAAGAAAGAGAAAAATTACTTAGCATAAAGTACACATGTTTTTTTTTTAAAAAAATCCTTCCTGATCAAAAAGATTTTCATCTAAAAATATGCTAATATATTTTGCAAGTATTTTCATTTTTTTTTCAATTTTTTAGATGACTACATATTGTTCTCAAATCTTTTTTAAAAAACATAATAAAATTCACTGCAGGCTAATGATGATAATTATTTATCTGTATTATTGTTATATTCATAACTGTTAGAAGAAATCTTACAAAACTGTTCCTCATACCCATAAGGTTTGTGTTTTTACAAGAATATACATTTGACAAGGATATAATTTTATCTCTCAATAAAATAATTGCATATGAAGTAAATCTTCATTTTCAATGTCTTAAGTATGCCACAGCAAGCATATTAAGGAAATGTACATTCCATCTGGTAACACAATGAAACCTAATTATGTTATACAAAGGCCAGATCTTTTGAGACAAAGAATTCCCTTTGCTCTTCCTCAATAAAAAATTGTAATGATGGGTTACACATTAACATCAAGAATACTTATCTGCACTTTATTTTGTAAGAGGAAATGTAGGTAAAGAGAAAAAATGAAAACATGCAGAGCAACTATTATGCTTTTAAGTGTATGCCTTGAGATTTTAGTGTGAAGCACTATATAAATGCTTTCTATAAATGATTTTAAAAATGACAAACCCATTAATTAGCAATGATTAAAATTACCTCAACTCCTAAATAACAAGGAAACAGTGAAATAAAAATACAAAAGCATCAGTTTAAATGACAAATACGTAGCAAAGGGGAACAAAGACTGGAGACTCCATCCCAAAGGACGAGTAGGATTTACTAAATTCAATGCTTGTGTCTGGAGTATGTAGAATACTAAAGGGTTGGGGAAGGAGAATAGAAAGAAAGGTTCAGCCCACACTATTCACTCGATCACTCACCTTCTGCTGCGCAGAGGAAAGGAAACGGGAGGGCCCAGAGAAGTGGGCCTGATGGCCTTAGCAATAGAGGGGGGTGCCTTGATCGGTGGCTGCCGGTGAAGGAGAAGGAAGTGGAGGCAGTGGCTGCAACTCTGGCGGGATAACGGCGGTCTCATGGACATGGAGGTTGCTGGCCTGGACCCAACGGAATGGCCTGGGAACACTCCCTATTTCCTTTGCACTTCTCTAAGGGGGGGAAAAAACAAGCGGAGATAGATCACTAGAAGAGCCTGAAACTGCACAAATGCCGGAGACAGCTCCGTTTCAAGGGACTGCGCCGTCCAGAAGACCTATCACACCCTAACAAGGTTTGCACAATATTCGGGGCCTACGGCGATTCGCGCACCTTTCTCAAGAGAAAAGGCTGGATTCCGCCGCGAATCCCTCCGGGTGGTGTATCCGCTTCTCCTCCCGGGAGGAAGAGGGCAGCAAGCGCAACTCCCGCACCTGTTGGGGTATCGGAGCGCCGTGCGCCGTAAGGCAGGAAAAAGACGCGGAGGATGTCTTCAATCTCAGCCGCCGTTGAGGAATATTTCGGATCGTGGGAGACAGGTTCGAGCTCTCTCTGGACATACACAAGTTTGCAAAGGCTTCAAAGAGAAGAGAAGCTCTACTCGTGCCCTGGCCAAATAGAGAACTAAGCGCAATACTCCGCGGTGCTCAGAAGCATTTATGCTGAAGGATAGTGAGAAAATTCTCCCTCCAAACCATGAGTTTCACCATATCGTATTAAAATTAACTTCCTCCCTATAGGAGAAGTTGAAAGGGTACATTTTCATAGCAAGGGATAAACAGACACGAGAGGGGAGCATGGTCACTCAAGGTCTTTTCGAAAGCATCAGGAGCGACCCATTCACCTATATGAAGCGCCTCGAAATACACTATTATTTTACATTCACAAGAAATAAAGAAAAACTGGAATTCCCCCTCACGTCCTCTAATGGCGCGGGAAGTTGCAATCCTGAACCTTTGTTCCAATTCGGGGGAAACAGAAAGGAACCTAGCGGGAACAGAGCACATTCCGGGTCAAACTCGGCTCAAAGTTTATAAAGGTTGGGAATGGGTCTCTCCCAGGGGCTTGGATTGGCTCCTTCCTCCCGGTTGAGAACTTCTTTCAAGGGCACTAACGGTGTGTCTCCTCAGCCACAAGTAGGGGACCTTTCGCAAACAGCACCGCTGCCTACCTAGGACACTCGTGAATCGCTCTCCTCCGACCGACCGCCGTCGTCCCCCCGCCCCGGAATGAAAGCCCTGAAAGGGTCATGTTCCCGAAGGAGGCATCTCCCCGTTTTGCCCCAAAATGAGCCCAGAAAGGCAGCCGTGGACATGACGACCCTTGTCCCTTTTCAAGTTCAACCTCGGGCTCCAGGGCAGCCTCCTCAAGGGCGACAGCCGCCCTCCTTCTCCTCCTCCATCATCGCCGCCACGCCGCGCTGCTCACCCAGAGCAAGGGGAGGATCTGAAGAGAGCGCCAATGGGAAGGAAGCGCCCCAACCTCGCCTCGGGCGGCACAGGGGGGTCCTTTCAAGGGCGCCAAGAGCCTCTGTCCCCAGCTTCTCCCCCAGGAGGGGCTGTTTCCCGAAGAGCCCCGGGGAAGCGAGGGCGCCAGGGGCTCCAAGGCTCCCTTACTTATTTCTCGCGCCACCAGTCCCTTCTCTTCCCCTCTCGAGAGGCGCCGCTCGCGGGCAAAGGATGGGTGGGGACTTTCCTACCTCCGACCAGGCGGCTTTCCTTCCAAGGCCGTTTCCGTGGAGTCCGTCGGATTCATAACGGTGGCAACCGTGGCCGCCAGGGCCCTCGCCCACCTCGACTGCCGCGAAGAGGCTGCGCCGTGACCCCTCGACGCCGCCTCTTTCTCCTGCGGTTAACTCGGCTCGCCGGCAAGTTTCGCTGGCTCTCGAGGAGGTGGAAGCGAAGGCAGGAGCAGGTCGCTCACTGCAGCAAGCCCCGCTGTCTCCGGCCGATAGCTCCCTCTAACGAGCCGAAGCTTAGCAGTCTGGCTTCGTCCGTCCCTCCGCCCGCCACTCAGCCAAACTCCCGGCGGGCTGGGCCTCAGCAGGCCGCCTCCCTCGCAGCTCCCCTCCCCGGTCCCGGAAGAGGCAGCGAAAGCGCGTCTTTCCCGCTAAAAAGGAATGCGAAAGTCAGAATATCGGAGAAATCGGCCACAAGAATTGCAGCCAGTAAAAATGCAAAGAGCTTTAGCAGCCCTTCCCGTTGTCCTCCGGCTTGAATGGCTGTACCGGCTGCAAGAAGAGGATATGAGCGAATGATTGCCTGGGCGACCTAACAGCGCCACGGTCTTCGCACAGTTCGTGACTAGCGAGTCTTGAATTTAAAAAGTCGCGTTAGGAGATTAAGACTGATAGCGCAAAAAAACAGCCCCACGGCCCCATGTCTCACGTGTTCTCTGAAGGCCTGGAGAGGATGTAAGAGAAAACTTGAGCCAGGGCCTACTGAAAGTAAAACTTACTATTGTAGACAGGAATAGGCTGAGGACTAGGAGGATAACAACGTATGGGGTCTGAGAGGAGGCCTTCAAAGGAAATCTTTAAAGAAATATGATGAGGTTGAGTAGTAAAACCTCTCACTGAGTTTAAGGACAAGCTGAATGAGAATTCAGCCTGGTAATCCAGCAAATGAAATGGGACTAAAAAGTGTACAGTACAATTTTGGACATACCTGTAACACCATTCTACTCTAATTTTCACTGTTGTTGGAAACGGTTGGTTTTGTGTACTGAGCGGCTGAGGCAAAGGAGCAGACCCAGGGTTAATGCAACAACTTTGTTTTAGCAGTTAGGTGCATGCAATGTCTGTGGTGACCTGCATTTTTGGCTAAAAATAGGAGTGGTTGTTGCATTACTTTTATTTCTGTTTATTATTTATTGTACTTTTCTAAGCATTTACCTATATATGAGTAAACTGGTGTGTCTACAAAGAAGAGGTAACCCCAAGGAAGTGTTTATAACTATAAAAACACTAAAATAGGATATTCTGCAACAACTCAAGAGAAGAATTAGTATGTGCCAACTTGTTTAGGGACAAAACAAAGACAGATTGGAACAACTAGCTGGAACTCTGAATGTATTCTGTATTACAATTTTAAATTGTTTTCTCTATAAATCTATATGTAACCAAAACCACAAAACATAAAACAACATAATAGCATGATACATCTTGGAACCATAATAAACTGAACTAAAAGCATCTTATACAACATGCCATTTTTTTACATCTATATTTTCTAATGAGACATTGGGAGAATAAAAATAAGAGTTGGCTGAATTAATTAAGGTGAATTCATTTTCCCTCTAACTCCCTCTGGTTTCAACTAAGACTTGCAGGAGCACATGTGACCCTGAAGGGAGTCTCTCTCTCTCTTCCTCCCTCCCTCCACACACACACACATACATATATACATACATACACGTATGTATACATACATACATACATACATACATACATACATACATACATACATACATACATACATACATATAT